GGCTGGATTCGAACCTGCCAGTTCAGGTGTATGTGGCTGGCACCTTAGCTGTTTGAGCCACAGGCGCCGAGCCTACTCTCTCTTCTTATAAAGGAGGAGCATGGGCTCAGAGGCTGGCCCTGTCCCCAGGCCTCAGCTGTTGACTGTCAAACCACCAGGTGGGCATCTGTTCAGTTCCCACTGACTGGGGCAAGCTGGGGAACGGTCATCAGTCCCACATCTGCAGGCTAGAAAATTGAGTGACGTGACAGAGTCAGGCCCAGGCTGCTGGCCGGTGGGGGCCTGCTGCAGCCAGCGCCCCCGTGCTCCTCACTGCCGGTGAACACAGCCTGCAGCACGGAGGGACGCTGGGTGCTGGGGCAAGAGGGTAGAAAAATGCAACTCCTCTCATCCCCACAGGCCCTGCCTCGGTTCCTGAAGAGTCTTGCGTGGAGGGCAGGTGAGGAACAGGCTCTCGTCCTGGAAGTTTTGGTCTTCCGATGGGCTCAGAGCCCAAAGAGACTCCGGGTCAACAGACTCAACTCAGGGACACCACCACTACCACCACAAGGACACTCTCTAGAGGTCATGAGCAGGGCCAGACACTTTTCACAAGGACCAAGGGGGGGTCCCAGTTTGGGGCTTTCCCCAGCTGGAGGAAGGTGATTCTCAGGCCCATTCTAGTGATCTTCCCCAAGCCTTGTGCCCATGTTCCTGGCCTCCACCCAGGTTGTCTCCCCTAAGCCTGGTAAGTGATGATGGCATGTCCAATGCACAGCCCTCAAGCTCATGGTGGGGACAAATAGACCCAGTGAACTTCCCTTTGACCCCTGTTAGAAGAGTTTGGGAAAAAAAAAAAAAAAACAGGAACCAATCACCTATACTGTAGTTAATTAACAACCACTCAGTTTTGATTCACACGAACTCAGTTCTGAGGAAGAGCTCAGAGCAGAGATTATGAAAGAAGCTAGGATTTCTTCATAAAACAGAGGTCTCGATGGTATCGGACCTCCGGAAGGAGGCCTACTGTTAACATCTCTTTATAAACCCCTGATCCTGATAGAGGGTCCCCTGATCCTGAGTCAGAATCTCAGTCAGTGCTTCTTGTAAGGGACAGCCCTGCACCCAGGCGGGGCCCAGCACCCTGACTTCCAGCAGGCTGTGGTTTTTGTGCAAGGAAGGAGGCTCCTTATGTCTCCCACGGGGTCGAGTCTGATTTGTGTCCTCGAGCTTGTGGCCATGTCAGCTGCCAACCTGGGGCTTGGTTTTCCTATCTCTCGAAAGGGACGGTTGGGCTAAGAGATTTCTAAACTTCCCTTTTGCTTTAAAATCCCGTGTATGATTCGTTGACCTTTGGTGAAGGACTGACACACCTTGACTAAAGAACTTGTCCCTTGGGTTCCCTTTTTGGGAGGATTGGGCAAGACAGTTAAGACCCTTTGACTTCCTTTCTATTCAAAGACTCAAGGAAAAAAACAACAAAATTTGTCCATATAGGAGTCAGGGCAAAATTAGGCTAGGTTATTTTAGGGGGGCCCAGCAGAAAGTAGTTATTTTTATATGAAATTTAGTTATTCTCAAATGCTCCTCCATAGTTTAGAGAATTCAATGTCAAAGTGTACAAATCCACTCCTGGGGGTAGACCCCAAACCATTGCACACTGGTGTTCACAGCAGCATCCTTCACCACAGCCAACGGGTGGAAGCAGCCCAAGTGTCTGTAACAGATGAACATCAAAGAAAATGTCCCCTATCCATGCACTGGAATATTATTTAGCCTTAAAAAGGAAGGAAATTCTGACATGGGCTACAACGAGGATGAACGCTGAGGACATTATGCTTGGTGAAATAAACCAGTTACAGAAGGACAAATAAGGTATGATTCCATATACGGGTGTCTAAGATAGGCAGATTCACGGAGACCAAAATAGATTCGAGGCCACCAGAGGCTGAGGGAGAGGGATTGGAGAGTTGTTTTTTAATAGGTATGAAGTTTCAGTTGTACAAGATAAAACAGTTCTGTGGATGGACAGTGGTGATGGTTATACCATTGAGTACAGCAGTACTTAATCACCAAACTGTATACTTAACATGGTTAAAACAGTAAATTTTATGCTATATGTATTCCATCACAATAAAAACAAAAGTGAGCAAATGAAATCCTTTCTGCATATCTCTGTATTAAAGAAAAAAGCAACTCCCATTGGTTTGAATTCCTGAAAAACCAAACAAAGAAACAAAAAGCACCCCTCTGGACTAAGAGGGGAATAGTTTTCTATTGTTTCTGCCAAGGCAAGGGTCTCAAATGCTGGTCACGGACGGTGAAGAATGGCGTGTGATCAGCCTATTTTCCTTAGGGTGATCTGGGGCGATCTGGTCCCAGAGCCTTTGAAAATCCTTCCACTCTCCAATGCGAATCGTCACCCACCGCACCCTGCCTTCCTAAAAGCTTCGGGGGAATGATCTGCACTGGTTTTGAGTGATTCTATCAGTCAAACCTGAACCTGGTACAGCTCTCTGATGCTCCCCAGAATTTTCTGCAGGGAAACCAGCAGGTTGACCCCCAAAATCCGAGAGTCAGAAAGTTAGGAGAGTCACACATCTTCTTGTCCAAAGAACTCCTTCCCGTACACATCTGAGAACCAGAAACTCGCTCCTTTGCTAGATTTGGAAATGTTCTTACCTGCTGCTTACTGAGAACCGTGCAGGCAGTTCAGCTCAGCTCGTTTCAAACATCAGCTGCCTAATACCAGACCCACGCCCAGAGATTACAATTAATTTGCCCCCAAAGATCTTATGAAAGCTGTGGACTTTCTCCCCAGAAAAATGAACAGAGGCACACAGCCATACAGATTCTTGGTGTCACAAGCCCTGTTTTAGAATGATCGTCTCTCCCCATATACCCAACAACTCAAACTTGGCTTTTTCTCCAAAAATTGGTCAAAAAGGCTAGCGACTGTTATGAGGAAAGGAGAGCTGAGACAGCACCTCCCTGCCAGCCCTCTTGATCCTGGAGTCTGGGGCAGTGTGTGAGGGGAAGGTGCCTGACTCTTGAGTTTCCTGGGAACTTTAGTGAAGGTTGCCTGTGGCTGTGGGAACCCCCACAGTCTGGAACAATCTCCTTGAAGGGTCACACAGATTTAGGCACCTTGAAATGTGTTGCCTTGTGTACTGTCCAGGTCCCTGGGAGAGCTGGGTCCAGGGATGACCTCGTGCACATAGGTGATGTTAATCAACCTAAAACCAAGTTTGAAAGGGGCAGTGGAAGGCCTGGGTCCCAGCCAAGCGCCTAAGCATGACTCCTCCTTAGCACCTCTTCTCCCTTGGCTGAGGGTGAAAGCCTTGTCCTGCAGAAATGCCCCCAGCCCCCCTCACTCTTCCTATAACCACAGAAGGAATTAGGCAACCTGCTTTGAAACTATCTACAGTGTCAAACATGCAAATTTTAAAAGAAAGCACAGAAACGCATCCTCCAGCACTCACCTGGCGGGAGCTGTCCCCTTCCTGAGTCCTGTGGAGCTTCCAGAGGTGGGAACCTCCAAGCCTCTCTTGGGGCAGGTCCTCACTCTGTCAACTTCACAACTCTCTGCACAAACAGATACTTCTCCTTTTCTCTCTCTCTCTGTATATGAGTGTTTTTCCTCTTCTGTTCCCCTCCCTGATTTTCAATCTGATTATTTGTGTCAAAATCTGGCGGTGAAGAAGTGGCCAATGGGAGCGTGCTGGAGCTCTGTGTATTTGCTTATCAAAACTTTCCAGGACTCAAGACTCCGAATTCTCATTTCTAACCCTCCACTCTGGGAGCAGCACTGGTTCTCTCAGGAAACTGTGAACAACATCTGGATGAAAAGAAAATAATGGCTAAATAGTTAAATTTTAGAAATTAAAGTTAAAATGAGGGATTTACTTATAAAACCTGATGTTTGCATGGAGAAGTCATAACGTTTTACTTCTTCCTTGCCATCTTCCTGCCTTTCTTTTTTCTCCCTCCCTCCTTCCCGCCCACCCTACGTTCAACCTCCCAAGGCTTAGGAGAGCCAGGGGCACTCAGATGCGAAGCCTGGGTCTGCCAACTACGTTTACAGAAGCCCCTCTTGTCATTGCCGAGGTCACGTTCCAGAAAAAACGTCAAATTTGCATCCCCCCATATGACCCCTGAAAGGGAAGAACCGTGGAGGTGTGGTGGTGAGACAGGGACTGAGACCCCCAGCCCGCCCCAGCCCACGTGTAGACTGAACGCTGGGTCCCAGGACTCGAGTGTGCCGCCATCTGGTGGCAGCAGAAGAGATGAGCGCGTCCCGATCCCCAGGGAGACAGCTTGGCTGGCGGGCTGGGACCTTGTATCCCGTTTGGCATGGAGCCGCACCCCCAGGTTCCCCACCTTCTCCCTCCTCCTCTCACCTCCGCCTCCTCCCGCTTACGGGATGACTGATTTATTTCAGGAGGTTTTGCATAAGAGGAGAACTCCACAAAACAGAGCACTGTTAGGCTGATTTGCATGCTCTTCCCGCCCCGCGCGGGAGAGATTATATTTCCCTCATAAAGAAAACAAGTTTGGCGACAGGAAGCCCCGACTTTACTGCAAGTTCAAGGTTCGAAGTGAAGAGAAAGGGGTTTTTCAGGTGAGGTCTTTCTGCTGGGGCCAGGCCCTGGAGGTGAGCGACCGTGTGGTCACCGAGGCCTCAGGGCTGGGGTGCAGGTCCCAACCACAGGCCACACACAGACAGTTGCTCAGGCCCCTCGGTCTCTCTTGGTCTCTCTTATTGCAGGAGAGAGATTTGAGGAAATATCTCCAGTATTCTTTGGATATCACACATCGCCAGCGAGAGACCAGAGCCTTTGTCATTATGCAGAAGACCTGACCAATTTTCCCTAACGCGGCAAGTCCCAGCTTCCTTCATGTTTGCACTGCACTACGGACACGTATCCACGTTTTGCTATCATAAACATGCATGTCATTTTTTCCCATTGAATGTTATTTTTAACTACTTCCTAAATTCTTTTGCATCTTTTATTAACACCTTTAATGGTCTCACATTTTTTCTCTTCCTTCTTTCCTTTCTTCTTTCCTTCTTTCTTCCTTCCCTCTCTCTCAGTCACCCAGGGTAGAGTGCCATGGTGTCATAGCCACGGCAACCTCAAACTCCTGGGCTCAAGGAATCCTCCTAACTCAGCCTCCTGAGTAGCTGCAACTATATGTATGAGCCACTGCACCCAGCTAGTTTTTCTAGTTTTAGTAGAGACGGGGTCACACTCTGGCTCAAGCTGGTCTTAAACTTCTGAGCTCTAGCAATCCACCTGCTGCAGAGTCCTAAAACTATGGGCGTGAGCCACCATGCCCGGCCAGTTACACATGTCTTCACGGTTTACTTTCCCTAATGCTTTCTCCTCGTGGGGCGTATCACTGTTTGGGTGGTCTCTAACACAAAGCTGCTATGTCAGGCAGGTATAGTTCAACAGCTGGAATCCACGTTAGGGTCCTTGCCGTCCTCCTTGAATAACAGACTCAGGGGTGCTCCTTCTACACAGTCCCAGCCTGGAGGTGATGGCAGAGTCACTAGGCTCCCCTCTATGGAAGAGCACCGGCCAGGCCCTCCACCCCCCAGGGACACTGACTGACGACAGAGCACTGGCCAGCATCACCCAGGCCCGTGCACCACTGAACCTCCCAGTGTCCTCTGTGTCCTACAGGGCCAACAGCACGGCCCTTTGTGGGCAGCCCTGGAATCAGCACCTTTATTCAGTCTCCTCCAAGGGCTAAATCACTTCAGTGTTCCTTTGCCCATTTATTCATTCACCCGTTCATTTACTGTCAGGTCTGTTCCCCTCCCGACTCCCTCCCTGTCTTATCCATTCCACGTTTATCAAGTGCCTTCTCAGTCCCAGACGCTGGAGTTGCAAACCAGAGCCAGATGGAAACCTTCACATGCTCCTTCCTGGTCGAGTGGATGGGACAGAACAACCTGACATTTATAATTTGGGGGGACAAATGCTATAATGTAAACATGGTATGGAAAGGAAGCATGGGACATTGGGAAATGGACCCAGACTTGGAAGGTCAGTCGATGTTGATGCCCAGGCTGAGCTCGCTGGGAGAAAGAGGAACAGCATGTAACAACAGCTGGAGGTCAGGCTCTCATGGAACTGGCAGCAGCACAGGCTCTCACGGAACTGGCAGCAGCCGCGCTCAGCAAGGGTAGTGTGGAGACTGGAAGGAGAGGGAAGGGTAGGACACTTAGATCACATTTAGAGCCTAAAAAAAAGAAGAACCAAGACCAGGAAGATTCTTCCCTGGTATAAACCCTGTTGATGATCCCCCTCAACCATTAGAACAAAAAGCTCCAGAGATTGGTACTTGACATCTTCCACAATGTCAGTTCTCTTCCAAATGACACCACTTTTTCACGTGCAAGTTGCAGATGCTGGATTTAAACTCATTTAATAACAAGCACAAAACAATTAGTTCATGTCACTGAAAACTGTCAGCTGACATAGTCTGAGATTGCATTCGTTCCTGCCTCAGGACATTCAGTCTAACTCCCAGATCTTCCCATGACTGGCTGCTTCTTCTCATCCAGGTCTTAGGAAATGTCACCGCTACAAAGAGACCTCCTTGGCATCAACTAAAGTAGGACCACCCCACTCACCTTCCAGTCTATCACCCTCCCCTTTTTTCTGAAAATGCCTCGCTTATCTGTTTACCTTTTAAGCTAGTGTATTTTTTGCTCTGACTTCCCTCAAGGAATATAAGCACGGCAAGAGCGGAGGGTTGGAATGTCCAAAGCTTAGAGTAGGGTATGAGAGGCACTAATGATATATTCATAGAATAAGTGGATCAGTGAATAAATGAGCAACTCTCTCCCCATCCCTCGGTTGCTTTCCTCTGTGTTAGCTTTATCCACCAGCATTGCCAGGCTATGGTCCATGAGTTTAGAAACTCCAGTGGACAGAGAGCCCGGTTCTCTATGGTTTCAGGAAGAGTTGACTATGTTTGGCCCAACCTCCTCCTGGGCACATACCAGCAGCAATCATTGTGGCCAAGGGGAGGGATATGGGCCTCTCATTGGCCATGGCTGTCGAACCACAGGGTCTAAGAGAATACAGAATATGAATCTGTTGTGTTCTTTCTTGAGACCAAATCCCGAGTTCTACCTTTCCCCTCCTGTCACCCATCTGGAATGTTCTTTCTCTTCATACCCCTCCTTCATAGCCTGCTGCAGCTCTTAACTCCTCCAGGAAGACTTCCTGGACTGCCCACAATCCCTGGGCTCACCTGTGGCCTGAAGGCTTTGGCCCGCCCATGACAACCCTTAAGTTCCTCTTGCAAACACTGCTGGCACTTGCTTGCCCCTCCCCCATAAGACTGGCAGCTCCTTAAGGGTGGGAACGTTGTAGGGTCCTCTCTCAGCAGGCAATGGGCACTGGTCAGGCTTCAGTCAGTGCTGGCCTGTAGGGCCATAATCAAGGCTGCGGGAACTACCATTGCTGAGGCCCAGGCAGTGGGCAGAGCCCACTAAGAGACAGTTCAGGTGGCTCAGAAAGCTGGGGGCGGGGGTGGGTGGTGAATAAGCTATGCATGATGTCCACCAGGGCCACAGCAACTCCTGGCACCAGCTGTGTGATCTTGGGCATTTTTTGGGCCTGGGCTCAGAATGCCCACAGAACACAAGAGTCATGAGATGAGCCTACCGGCCTCAGGGACAGGAAGATAGACCCAGTGGTCCCTGCCCTCTGGCGTTCTCAGAGAGCCGGGTAAGCGCTGGGACCTATCTCCTCTCTGCTGCACATCTTGGTGGAAGGAGAAGTTCCTACTTACTGTGTCCCACTGTAAGTGTAAAGAGTGGACCACAGCCGGCAGCAAAGTGAAAATGTCCACTTCCAGGGATTGTGGAGCGCTTTCCAAGCCCAGGCTCCTGGCCAGGGGCTGCTGCAGCGGAGATGCGTGAGTCCCACTTGCAAACCCTGCCTGCCACTGGGGCTGGCACTGCCCTCCTACTGCCCGCCGTGTGCCCAGGAGACCCGCTCCGTATTTTGAGGTTTGGCCACAAGGGGGCGCTCCCGCCTCCTTTTCCTAGAAGAGAAACTAGTCTGAGAACAATAAAAATAATCTATCTGCAGATACGTGCTGTTTAAATTACAAGAGTAATACCTGATCAGAGCAGAAATAAGAAAATAAAAGAACATGCCACTCCATCCCACCCCCAACATTAACTTTTTATTTTATATTTTTCTTAGAGACAGGGTGTCATTATGTCACCCAGGCTGGTCTTGAACTCCTGGCTTTAAACAATCCTTCCTCCTCAACCTCCCAAGTAATTGGGACTATAGGCAAGCCCTACCATATTCAGCTTTGATACGCATTTCAAGGTATACCTTTCCAGTTTCTCTCTCCTCTCTCTCTTTCCCTTTGCTTCTTTCTCTCCCTCTGTCTCTCACTCTTATGAGCTTATAATATTTTCTGATTCAAATTAATCTTTGCTGACCCTCTGCTTTGAGTAACCACACAGTAGAGGACATCTGCTCTGGCTGTGAGTGCAACCTTCCAATCCTCCTGCCTCCAGGAACCATAGACAGGGATGGGCAATATTCTGGTGGCAGACCATGGGTAGGTCTGAGGTGGCC